GATTAAATTCCACTATCATTAATAGGTTAAGATGTGAATATAATGCTAATTTAAAGATTTCTTGGACAAAATATATTCCTAAAATTACTGAAAGCTATAATGAAACAGTACATACAACAACAGGCTTTACACCTAAATTCTTATATTATGGAATACAACCACAGTATATAGAACATGACACAGTAACACATATACCAATTGAAAAAGCAAGAAAATTAGCCATTGAAAGAACCATAAAATCCCATGAACACAGCAAACAACTTTATGATATTAAACACCCAGAACCCATTTTTAAAGAAGGAGATCAGGTATTAGTAAAAACCTTTATTTATCCAAACACTGGTAAATTAACACAAAGATATATAGGCCCATTTACTATTTTAAAACAACTTTCTCCAGTCACATATGAAATTAATAAACCCAATTTACCCCAAAGAAAACAAACAGAAATTATACAATCAAATAAGCTTGAATTATTTTACCCAGAAACAGATTTTTTACTTCACTATAGCACTAACATAGAAAATGACTCAATAGCAAATCAAAATTCTAACACAAAGTTAATAGATATTTATGATAAACCATGTTTTTTACAGGAAGGCCATATTTTGGACATGGACAATGAAGAACAAATATCAGCACCAATTCTTAAGCCTTCACAAATAACTTAATGTCACTCCATACATCTATTAGCGTTTCATTACTCAACTTTGAAGTGTAACTAGCATAATGTCATAATTACTCAAATTTTAAATTCCCTTTTTTGCTTCATATACATTTTTGATATATTTCACTCATTAATATTTCTTATATATACTTTTATTATAATTTCATAATTATATAAATTATTTGTAAACAAACTTTCTTTTGTTTATTTTGAAAAAATGTGCGTATTGATTTTTATGGTTTCATTTTTAATTATTTCTATATATTTATTGATTTCGTTTAATTAATTATTTTTAATTACCAATTTTATTTTAAAATTTTGAAAATCTTTTTCACAGGGGGGAAATATTATATAATCTAAAAATATTATATAATCTAAAACCTCAAAAATTTCTATATTTTAAAAAATATATATTTTATTTTATTCATTGATAATTTTTATTTTTGCTATCATCGTTTTTAGAAAGACTTTCAGTTTAGTTATATAGTTTTGTTGTAAATATGCGTAGTTAACCAATCAATCCTTTTAAATCACTAATATAGGATTAACTTATAAATTCTATATAATGTGAAAACTAACTAATGTGTAATCTTTCCTCAAGTAATTGAAAATAAAAGCTACTTGACGGTAAATCATTATCTTTTTTTATCACGACTGCACCTCAACCCTTTATCTTATCGATCCTTTGTCTTATCAACCCTTTATCAACAACAACAAATTTATTCATAACATATATATACTAGACGAATGGCCCGGGCAACGCCCGGGTTTTACCCGAGTGCGTATATATTTTAAAAACGTTTTAATTCAAATACTATTCGTTACAATTATAAATTGGCGCCATGGATGTCACTCTTGTGAAACGTCCCGTAAAAAAAAAGTCGGTGGATGAGAGGGTAACACGCTCGATTCCCGACAATAAGTCGGTGGATGAGAGGGTAACACGCTCGATTCCCGACAGTCATGAACCGGGATTAAATCCCACGTTAAAATTTGTTTAATATGTGAATAACCTTCACATATTATTCATTGTTCAATTATCATGAACTAGGTTGCTCTTGCTGAGCGGTACCTATTTATGTGAATTTGAACCAGAAACGTCCCGTTCCAAACTGTGTGTTTTTAAAATGTTTTAATTAAAATACTATCCGTTACAATTATAAATTTGAACGATAGGCTCATTATTTCTTTATACCGTTATTATACCGTTATATTATATATATTATATTTATTATATATATATATATTACACGTTATTTGTTTTCTTGGCGGACTGTTTTACATATGGTGTTATCTTAAAATTGCTTGTTTTGAATATTTTTTAGATTGAGATTATTAGCTAGTATGTAAAAAAATTAACTCTGATGAAATTTAATTTTGTATTTATATATAAATAAAATTAACTCTGTTGATTTTTTTTGTATTTAATCGATAACAGCGAAGTTACGCATGTTAATGTTAGGGAAAAATATTTTGATGTTAAGCAAAACCTGCTCCATCTCGTTTTACATAAATGTTGAAAATTTGGTCGAAATTGATGCATTGTAACGAAAGTTTTTAGTGAACAACACTTATGAAATTTGCATTTTATTAATATAGATATATAAATATCTGTACGATTTAATTGAAGGGATTTATATACAAAATTAAAATACATAATTTTCTTTGCAATTAAATATTTATTTTTTCAAAATTACATACAATTAATAAATTTCAAAAAAATTGACATTTAATTTTACAATCCAGAAAATTTAATGGGATTTCTGTGGTTGTTTATTGGATGACAAAAAAATATATTTGGTTCAATTGACGTGGTACGTAATTCAAGTTGATCTTTCCAATGAATATCACTTATTTAACTTCTTAGGCGGGTTTTAATTTGAGTCATGTATGAAAATGTTGCCTCGCAGCAATATGTACTTCCAAAACATAAAAGAATTCTTCGTGCGTGTTGTCTCAGACGAGGATAAATAACTGCAGTCTTTCATATATTCAATAGAATCTTTTTTTGAATCGAATTGGGATTTAGAGATATTATCTTCTATCTCAAATAATTCCATTTGATATTCTTTGGGCGCTACGTCGATATCAACAAGGTGTGGTTCGAAAGTTAATTTAAGAGTAAGAACATGTTTTTCAAAATCTGAGAACCTTTTATTATGTTCTTCAATTAATATATCCAGAACAGAAACATACTCATCCAAATTTTGAGGGGAATAATTTTGCTCCATCATAATTTTCGATAACTGTGGGAAATGTTCTTTAGAAATTTCTAATCGACACACACACCAAGTAAAGATTTTAAGAATAAAAGTTTTTTTCGGAAAGCTTGCATTTTTTTTGCCACATTTCGTATATATATTTAGTTTTTCCCTGCAAGTTTAAATTCAATTCATTTTGCTTCATTGTCATGTCACATAAAAAGGCAGCATTTCTACAAAATTCTTTATCTGATAAATCGCAATATTTCTTTTGTTCTTCAAAAAATTTAATTATTTGTTGACGCAGGGTGAATATTTTTTTGCGAAACTTGTCCTCTTGATAACCAACTTATTTTGCTATGATATGGTAAGTCTCCATTGAATGTGTCATTATCTGACATTATTATATCTCGAAATTGACGATGACGCATTGAATTTGATCGAATAAAATTTACAATACCAATAATATTTTCTAAAGTATCGTTCAAACTAGCCGACTTAGCACATAGGTTTTGTTGGTGCAAAATACAATGAAAAGAAATCAAGTTTTCTAAATTAGCATATTCTTTTTTTAATAACGAAATGAAACCTTCTCGCTTTCCTACCATGGCTGGTGCACCATCGGTACACACACTTACTAAATTATTTATATTTAACCCTGCTTCGCAAATTTTTATTTTGAAGTTCTCCAAGATGTCTATTTCTCGTGTCCTGCCTGAAAGTGTTCCTAATGCAAGCAACTCTTCAAAACATCGAAAATCCTCAGTAATAGCTCGAATAAAAAATAGAACCTGTGCTGAATCGGTATTGTCTGTGGATTCATCCAATGCTATGGAGAAATATATATTTTCTTCTTTAATAATCTTATATATATATATATATATATACAGAACTGTTGTTTTATATTTGTAGCTAATTCGTGTTGTCGTTCGGTGATGGTTCCTCTTGAAAGAGGTAGTTGTTTGTATTTATCTACTTTTTCTGGATGTAAGCATTTGACCACTTCCACAATACATTCTTTTATCATTTCAACGTCGCTAAATGGTTTTCCCCGTTTTCCAAGAATGTACGCTACTTTGTATGTTGCTTTCGTGGCATTATTATTATGTTGAAAGAACTTATTGAAAGTTTGTTGCCGGTGAAGCTTTTCATTTTAAAGTTGTTTTAATATAGTTTTACGTGCTTCTCCTTCAAGAATTGCATATTTATTATTCGAATGAGTCATGTAATGTTGATTAGCATTATACCTTTTAATTGTAGTTATAACTGTATAACATAACAAACAAACCATTTTATTTTTGGAACTAATTAAGAAGTATTGCAATTCCCATTCTTCATTAAATAATCGATTCTCGTCCTTAAAGTCCTTTTTTGTTTTTTAGACATGATTCTAAAATAAAAAGATATATGAAAATTTATACACAAAAAGACCATGCCGCATATAAAATTGTATTTTGAAAATACGGGAGAAATGGACTGAAATCAAAATCCACATTTTTTTTTACATAAGTTTACTTTCACAGAAAATTAATTATATTAATAATTTTTCAACTGATAAAAAATTTTAAATTATGCAATGATATTTAAAATTTAAAATTAATTTACCCGTATTTTACTACAATACAATAGAAAACATTGTTCGATATTTGTAATATGTATTTTCTTACAACTTACCTTATTAAAAAAATAAACAACCATTTAGTAAAGTTGATACAGTTACACACCGGCAATTACGTGGCCTCGACGTTACTTGGACGTTACGTTTAGTTTTAGTACTAGTGTTGACCGCAAATCGGCGCTGCCGATATAGTGGTATAGTTATGTACTTCATTTTTAGCACGGCACTTGAATTACTTTTAGAAATTTGAATACTTACATCTACTATATTATATAAATCTCTATCTCTATATATATAAAAGTCAATTTCTGTCTGTCTGTTTCGCGATAAACTCAAAAACTACTGAACCAATTGGTACCAAATTTTGAATGTCGCTTTTTATAAACCTAAGGAAAATTTTCGGCTGCATTTTGATTAGTATTTTTGGCTATTTCTTTTTTTCATTTGAAGAACCTTTTTTTACGCGGACTAATCCGGAATGGAATGAATACCTAAATATGGCCATTTTTCATAAGCATCGGTGGTTCAGTGGTAGAATGCTCGCCTGCCACGCGGGCGGGCCGGGAATCGACCCCGGGTTCGATCCCCGGCCGATGCATTTTTTAACACATTTTATGTGTTACTTCTGTATTGCTATTCTATGGCACTTCTAATATTTATTATGGATATACTTTTAGTATGAAGGAAATTGCACCCAAGGGATTTCTCGGGCGAAGCCGGGTCATTCGCCTATTATATAATATATGACATTCGTATTAGATATTTTCAATAAAATAATGAAAGTAATTGAAAACTGCGAAACAAAAATTATAATTTTAAATCTTTGAAAAGGCCACAACTTGAGCAAGAAAAGGCCACATGCAGCCTTAAGGCCGCACGTTCGCCACCCCTGGTTTAATGCATCCATAATTGTGGGTATAGGGATTGAAGTAAACATGGATTCAACATCTAATGATATAATTCTTTAATATCTATTTATTTTCATGTCAATAATATCTTCTTTTAATTCACATAGGAATTAATAATTCCATTTTCATTAAAATAAGGTAGATTTTTAATTGTTGTGCGAACCATTTTGCCAAGGCATATGGTGAAGTTGTTGAAGGTCTATTGTTTACTATTGGGCGTAATGGGCCAAATTAGAATTGTAGACTTTTGGTGCATCATACAGTCGAACCTCTTTAATTCAACACCCCAAGGGATCAGAGCTTTCGGTTGAATTAAAGGAAGTGTTGAATTAAAGTTAGATGATTAGCTAATCATTTAACTCGCTAAAATAATATTTTTTAAAAAAGCTTTGTAACATAAATTAATTATATTAATTGAAACCATTGTATTTATTTTTCATTTTCATGATTAACTTTTAGTATCAGGGACAAAATGGCAATAATACAGATTTTTGAAACATAAATATTTACAAATAATATTTTATTCTAATTGAAGAATATAGCAGTTGAAAGAAAATAAATATGGAAAATGAAAAGAAATTTTAAAAATAATATTTAAAAAAAAATCATGAAGATCTTTTCAAAAATTCCTTTATACATGTCTGTTTTTGCACTAAAATCCTATTCAGGATGTATTCCAGAGATGGTCTATTTTAAAAGACATCCATGTCTTTCTTCATCTGGAATGTCTTTTAAATAACAAAGAGCTTTGATTATATTAAAGGCATCTACTGCTGCTGCAGGTGTTATTGATTTTGTGTTTAATTTTTTTATAACATGGAAATTAAATATTGAAATAAAATGCTATCATAATCATTGTGGCTACATATTTTATGAAGATTTATTCATTTAAAAGGAATTTATTTGTAAATTTTAAAATAACTAAAATATATCAATGCTAAAAATTAAAAAAAGAAAATAATATTACTAACTAGCGGATGTACCCGGCTTCGCCCGGGTTTTACCCGAGTAAAGGTTTGTCTAACGAACATTAGTTAAAACAATTCTCTATAAACCTATAAAAAAAAGATATATTTTGATAATTTGAAACTCGTAAATTTGAATCTCTCGATAAAGTAAACATTTCTTCCCGGTCCCTTGAAAAATATTCGATAAGTTTAATAAAATCAATATTAATTGGTTCCCTCGGTAATTGGAAGTTAAAGGAATAGTAACTTGCCTTGGAATTGAATCATTATTCTTGTCTCAAATAAATTGCCGTGTCATCCTGAATTTTGTCTTTCCTAATTTTCTACATTACAAAATCATCATTTTATCTATTCTCCCAATATATATGTTGTAGATAAATGATAAAACTAACTTTGACTTGTGCGCAATTAATAGGTAGAAAATCTTACTTTTGATAAATAATATTTAAGATAATAAACATAAAAAAAAAGATATATTTTGATAATTTGAAACTCGTAAATTTGAATCTCTCGATAAAGTAAACATTTTTTCCCGGTCCCTTGAAAAATATTCGATAAGTTTAATAAAATCAATATTAATTGGTTCCCTCGGTAATTGGAAGTTAAAGGAATAGTATCTTGCCTTGGAATTGTATCATTATTCTTGTCTCAAATAAATTGCCGTGTCATCCTGAATTTTGTCTTTCCTAATTTTCTACATTACAAAATCATCATTTTATCTATTCTCCCAATATATATGTTGTAGATAAATGATAAAACTAACTTTGACTTGTGCGCAATTAATAGGTAGAAAATCTTACTTTTGATAAATAATATTTAAGATAATAAACATAAAAAAAAGATATATTTTGATAATTTGAAACTCGTAAATTTGAATCTTTCGAAAAAGTAAACATTTTTTCCCGGTCCCTTGAAAAATATTCGATAATTTGAATAAAATCAATATTAATTGGTTCCCTCGGTAATTGGAAGTTAAAGGAATAGTATCTTTGCCTTGGAATTGTATCATTATTCTTGTCTCAAATAAATTGCCGTGTCATCCTGAATTTTGTCTTTCATAATTTTCTACATTACAAAATCATCATTTTATCTATTCTCCCAATATATATTTTGTAGATAAATGATAAAACTAACTTTGACTTGTGCGCAATTAATAGGTGGAAAATCTTACTTTTGATAAATAATCTTTAAGATAATAAACTTAGTGATAATAAAACTTATAGATAAAAAACTTGTTATGATCATCGCAATGGGGGGCGCTGCTTGCGAGTTAAATCTACAAATCTGCAAATAACTCTAAGGATATTCAAGATATTCAAGAAATTATTTTTCTAAAACCTTCCCGGAGATATACCTAATAATATCCCAAAATTTCACAGCGATTGGATATATGGTTTTTGAATCTATAGAGTACAAACATACAGACAGACATTCAATTTTATATATATACTAGCGGACGTACCCGGCTTCGCCCGAGGTTTAACCCGAGTAAAGGTTTGTCTAACGAACATTTGTTAAAACAATTCTCTATAAACTTATAAAAAAATATATGTAGTAATCCCGAGGTGGAATGTACTGGGCAGTCGTGGTAGTGGGTGCGTGATGGGATTCCCGCACTGGGGCAGCAAGAGACAGAGGCAGGTCTAGATGGTAACTCCAGAAGGTAGAGGTAGACCACGGACGAAAGTAGTCGGACCATGGACGTCACGGATGCCTACATCGCAGATAGGGGTGAGGGACCCGACCGTATGACGGCGTCGCTCTGAAAACAACTAAACTACTTTTGTCCCAATCTTGGGGGCTTTTATATGAGACGCTCGCAGATGGCGGCGAGTTCTGATTGGTTCCCGTAATCACGCCACCTGTCAAGCGCTGGGTTATTAATTATGTCTGGCCATCTGTTCGACCACCAGCTGACGGGGGAATGAACTCATTAGCATAAACACCTGTTAGTCTGGGTTGTTTATCACGTCTGGCCTTTGTCGTCTGGACTACCTCTACTCCTTTTGTTTTATTTGTCACTTCTATTATTCCAAGTTTGATACATATTTTACATAGGTATGGTGTTATAACAAATATTAGAATAAGGCTGTGAACTATATTACTCGAAATATACTACAAAATGTGTCCCCGGTGATGAAGGTTTGGTTGGGGGAATGACATGTAAAGAATGATAACCTAACAAACCTATTATAAAAAAATAAAATAAATAATTTGTATACAAATTAGTTAAAATTATTATGAAGTTACAAGTTAAAAGGAGAAAGATGTTGTAAGGGTGGTGTATCAATAAAAGCGTACAAAATGAATGATAAAAGATTAAGAGAAGGTATATAATTTAAAATGGTAACTATGGTAAAATGAATCGTACAAGGAAAGTAATATCTTATTGTATTAAAGATGAGAGAAAAAAAATGAAGTTAGTTTATTGACTGAACTTATAATGTGACGCTAAGGTTGAAAAAGGGAAAGGGGGAATCTGAGCATGTTTCTGCAAAAGTAGTATCCCAAGCATCCTGCAATGCAATGCGAACTTGTTTAAGTGAGGCATTGTTTTCATTAACAGAAGGCCTAAGATATTCCGTCTGCATCATTAGCTCAGACAGTGGAATGAGGTGGGAAGATTGATGGAGGTAAAGGGGAGAGGTAGAGGTAAGAGGGATCCCTGTTGTCCATAATGATTGTGCCCGGTTGAATTGTGAAAAAAAGTGAAAAGTTGAAAAAATGATGAATTGATATGATGCGTCGGGCGATGAGAAAAAAAATAAAAATATCGCGCTGGATATCCTGAACTCATTATCGGGAATGGTATAGCGAGGAAGGATTGTTCCAGTCGGATTAATCAATGAAAAAAAAAAACAAAAATGTTCGGCGAACTGGAATCCCTTGGAAGGTTGGAGGTTTGAAGGATGCGGAAAAGGAGAGGTGGGTGTAAGAGAATTATTGCTTTCAATTTTGATTGTGTCCGGCTTGTGTGGTGAAAAGAAAAAGATGAAAAATGAAAAAAATGATGAGCCGGACGATGAGAGAAAAAAAAAAAAATTCTAACTGGGTCTCCTGAGCTCACTGTGGGGAAATGTACAGCGAGGAAGGGTCTTCTAGTTTGTTAATCAACAAAAAAAAAAAAAAGAAAATGGTTGACGAACAATAATCTCTTGATGGCTGTAAAAAGTTGGGAGGAAAGGTTCATGGGATAGAGTTAGAGGTTGTAAGGGAAGCGTCAAAAATAACATTTTGAAATCTACAAAGAAAAATTTTATCTGTTAAAGAAATATTATAAATATTGTTAGGTGTAGGTTTTTTAAATGGTGCCTAAGATAGTTGAAGTTGTAAAATGCTAAGTCTGAACATGATGAAAAAAGAAAATAAAATATTAAAGGTAATAATATATAAAGGGTTGATTGGTAATTGATGGCATTAATTTTGATGGTTAATAAACAAAATGATATTATCGATTAATATTGAAATGTTTTATCTACATCTGTAAGTTAAAAAACAAAGTCCAACACCACAAAACTAGTAAAACTGTAAGTCTTTTTACAAATAAATGAGAGAAAAGCTAGCAAACCTATTAAATGGGAAATAATTTGGGGCACAAATTAGTAACTAGAATAAAAATAAAGATAAAGGGGAGTAGTGGTGACACACTGATATCATAATATAAAACTACAAAAAATATATGAGGAGTACATAGGAAGGATAAATTTAAAGTAAACACACAC